AGGTGAAGGAGGAGGGTGGTATAATCGTAGGATAGAAACTCTCGAAGACACGGTGGGAAAGATGAAGGAGAGATACGATGCTGACGTGGAACGAGATTGAGTGAAGAAAGAAGAAGAGGAGAAAGCTAACTGCGAACAGGAGGAAGAGGAGCGAAGACTGCATGACAAGAAAGAGTGACAAGACTTTCAAAGCCAGATAATGCAGTTGATGGGCAAATGTTGGGAAGCAGTGTGCAGCAAAGTCGACGGTGATAAGAAGTCCGATGAAGTCAGGCGGCTGCGTAAGGAGGTGGAGGAGTTGCGTCGACAGAGTGCTTCTACGTCAAACAAACCAGCACCGACAGAGTTTAGTGTGGTTGACCAACTCTTACGAGAACAGGCCGAGTTGAAGAGGCAGTAAAATGCCAATTCATCCGCCTCCGAACGCCGGCTCAATTTGCTCGAGGAAGAGAATGCCCTCCCGAGGAAACGATGTGATGAACCCAACAATGAGGTGGAGTCTTGGAAGCAGGAGGTGGTGCGACCAGGCAACAAGCGGGGATGTGTAGCTATTGCGGCCACTCCGACTCCTCAAGGGCGGTTTCGAGCATGTGTGACGCCGGCTAAGTCGCCGAGCATTTCTGATGAACAGTATCGCGACATTGTTCAGCGGCATTTGGCGGAGGTGGAGACGTTGAAGTCCATGCGGTTAAAGGAGCTTAATGGCAGACGCGAAGTAGAGCAAGAACTCGAAAAATTGAAGGACGAGAAACGCAGCTCAGAACAAGAAATTGAACGATTGAAGGAGGCACCGGCTCGAATGGAGACGAGTAAAGAACGGACTCCGATCTCAAAATTCAGAACAAGAATCGATGCTGCCGCCAATGAGTCCGTGAGGAAGAGTTATATGTCGAAGAAGAAGGTTGTTGTCACCGAAGTCAACGATCAAGAAATTTTTATCAAGGAAAACCGAACACTGCTTAAACCAATGAAGAAACATGCAGTTATGGAGATCTGCGTTAAAGGAGTGACGTACTCTACGCTGGAAGCTAGCAAAGAAGACATCGTCAAAAAAAGGGCTGGCCTGGCCTTTGGTAAAGATCAGGGTGGTACCAGCAAAGGGATTGCCATTCATGAGGCATCTTAGGACGTTGCTGTTCCATCTGACTCTAAGGATTACGGGCGGACGGAGGAGTTCTCGTAGGTTCGACACCGAACGTGGCTAGACTATGGCAGCTCACGCGATGCTGTTCTCAACTACGTTCTCAATTTGTGGACCTGCTGAGGTGTAAAATTATCAATTGCCTACTCCGCTCGGTTGTGATTATTCTCGTCTTGTCCGGTCAAGTCCCTTGGTTGACGAAGTTGGCAGATTTTGTATGTTCTCTTTCTGTGAGTG